GAGTCGTTCTTAGAACTCATGCTTATCCTCTTCGTCACTGTCATTTGTAGGAGCATAGCGCTGTATGATGCTGACCTTGATTTTCTTCTGTTTTGTTCTAAATGCAGCTTTGATAATCCTTGGCCCATGTGATTTCCATACTATAAGTGCCTTCTGAGCTGATCTAGACAATATCAGAGCTACGCTTTCAGTATGAAGTGCATCTTCTTCTTCATGTCCAGAGAACAGAATCATCTCTCCACTTATCAATCTTTTCAGACCAAATTGAGTCCATCTAGTTTCGCTGATTCCGAGCATAGCTGTGTTGTACGTCTGCATCTCTGCTGCTATTTCTGCGGCCTTCCCGCTTTGGAACATAGTCATCACGTTCCATGTTCCCTTGGTGGTGTCTCTGGAAAGAGAAAGGCAGTTGCGTCTTGTGGCTTCCAGATACCTCAAGCATTCACTACTTGACTTCATCCTTTTTCTAACTGAAGATCCTTCCTCTCCCAGATAAGGAATCTCTTATAAGTTATTTCGTTGGCGTTTCTGTAGCTAGACTTGTTTTCCGCGTTGAGAAAGCTGGCCTCATGCCCAACCCCTAAACTGGAGGACGAGGGTGCTGTTTTGTCTGACCCTCTCCCGCAGACAGATCCGGCATGGTCGAACCTGCCAGGAGTACAAGGCTCCCGCCGGCACAGCTCTGAGGGTCGTAAGGACAGGCAAGCTTCCCCGCCACGACAAGGCAAAGCACCAGGGGAAGAAAAAACTACATCAACAGCCTAGCAGAGGAGACAGAAGAAGCCGCTTACAGTGGAAACATGAAGCAGCTGTATGATACCAGCAATAAGCTGAGCGGTAAATATGGAAGACCGGAAAGACCAGTTAAGGACAAAGATGGGAAGACCATCATTGGGAAGGAAGGGCAACTCAACAGGTAGGCGGAGCACTTCGAGGAACTGTTGAACAGACCTACCTCCAGACATTCAGCCAGCTGACTCGGACCTTCCAATTAACTGTGAGAAACCGAGTCGGGATGAGATCAGGAAAGCTATTATGAAGTTAAAGAATGGCAAAGCAGCAGGAGCGGACAACCTTCTTGCAGGGCGCTGAAGGTCGACATAGATACCACAGTAGAGATGTTATCCCCCCTGTTTGCAAGGATATCGGAGGATGAAGAGTTACCAGCTGACTGAAGGAGTGTCATCTCATTAAGTTTTTAAAGAAGAGCGACCTTAGTAAAAGTTCCACCTACAGAGAAATTACTTTGCTGTCTGTGCCTGGAAACGTTTTCAACAAGATCATCTTGGAAGAGTGAAGGACACTGTCGATTCCCAGCTCAGGGATCAACAGGCAGGATTTAGGAAAAACAGATCTTGCACGAATCAAATAGCCACCCTCCGAATTATTGTGGACCAGTCCCTTGAGTGGTATTCCTCCCTGTATATCAACTTCGTTGATTGTGAGAAGGCATTCGACAGGTGGATAGGGAAACCCTGTGGAAGCTACTAAGGCACTATGGAATACCTACCAAGCTTGTGTCCCTGATTAAGAGCAATTATGAAGGAATGACCTGCAAAGTGATACACAAAGGGCAGTTTTCCAGACAGTTCCAGGTTCAGACTGGTGTCCGGCAGGGTTGTTTACCGTCCCCTTTCCTTTTGTTGCTGGTCATAGACTGGATCATGAAAATGAAAACGAAACAGCGAAGGAATGGAATCCAGTGGACATTCTGGTCCCAGTTAGATGACCTGGATTTTGTGGATGATCTAGCCTTACTTTCCCACAACCATCACCAAATGCAGGACAAAACAACTAGCATGATGGACATCTCTGCACAGGTAGGTCTTAGCATCCACAAGCACAAGACCAAAGTCATGAAATGAATGCAGGCAGCACCGAACCTGTCCTGTTGGAAAGTAGTGCACTAGATGAGGTAGAGTCCTTCACTTACCTCGGCGGTATCATCAATGTGCAGGGCGGTACGGATGAAGAGGTCAAGTGTAACTGACTCCAGGCGCGATTACCGCAAGTTCAGAATTACAAATTGCAGGACGTCGAAGCACTGATCAAGAGCACTAGACTTCGTGTTGATTCCAACGATTATCTTTATTACAATGATCCAATGCTTAAAACCGTCAAACTAAAATACAAGTAAAATATCTAGACTAAGCGACACGAAATGACAAAGCCGAACAATAATCGGATATGATAAACACACGAACGCAGGAAAAGGCAAAAACAACTAAATTACAAATAAACCGACGAAATGAAACTAAGAACGGTAAAAACATGCTTACCGATTGTCCTCTCTGTACGCCTGAGTAGTTATAAACGCAGGATCCAAAAAACTTCGCAACAAACGCATTAAACTTCGCAAACGCAATAACTGATCAAGCACACGGACGAATGGTAAAACCGACGCACGAGGTTCTGAAATATGATCTGACGGAAACGTCACTAATATCTAACCTAGACAGTTACAAGGTCAGGACAGTTTTCCGACAACTTCAAGCAATCTGTAAATCCAGAGAATTGTCCCAACGTACCAAGATCAGGATTTTAAAATCAAATGTAAAACCAGTTTTACTTTATGGTGCCGAGACATGGAGGATAACAAAAGCCACCGTAACCAAAGTACAAACTTTCATCAACAGCTTCCTCCGGAGAATCCTGACGGTGCACTGGCGAGACAAGATCAGCAATATCAGCCTGTGGGAAAGAACACAGCGGATCCCAGGAGAACAGGAAATGGGAAGACGGAGATGGGAATGGATAGGGTACACGCCGAGGAAGCCAGTGGCTAGTACCACGGGACAAGCCTTGTCTTAGAATCCTCAGGGTAAAAGGAGAAGAGGTAGGCCCAGAAACACTTGGCGTCAAGACCTCCTGACAGACACCAAGAGGATGGGCATCGCCTGGAACCAATTAGAGGGAAAGGCACAGGATAGGGGGCTCTGGAGGTCTCTCGTCGACGGCCTATACCCTGGGAGGGGTGATAGGGTTAAGTAAGTAAGTCAGTAAGTAAGTAAGTAAAGCAGCCTCTTCCCCGGGGACGGATACTCTCCCCAGTTTTCACTCACAATGAGCAAAACAACAGCATCAAAACAACATGGTGGAAATCGACCTCTTCAACCACACTGTAAAATAAAGGACCGTCACGTGATTTAACTGGTAGCAAACAACTGGCAGGAATTGATTAGTGGGGATAGCTTGTGCATTCCCTCCTGACATCGCTACTTAAAAGGTGAAAGTTGCAAGCCTCCACTCACTGTAGTCATTTCGCAGTTTTTCTTTTTCTTTTTTTAACAAATTCGGAGCTGAAACCAGTTAATTAATTAATTAATTTTTTTACTTATTGGTCTTTCTAGGTTATTTCTTTATTTAATTTCATGGACGTCGATAAAATCAGGAACATGGAACATTCCGGAACATCCTGGAACATCGAATAATTATAATAATTATGAGAAAAAATATGTAAAATTAAATTTTCAAAAATTGAATTAAACAAAAATAAACTGGTATCAGCTCGGAATATTTTTTAAAAATATGAATTGATAACTTATATACATTCAATACACACTTACATACTTACTTTACAAAATTACATTACTAAAACCACTCAAATTGTAATACTCGATTTACAGTATACTATTTACATCCTTGCAATACTAGTCCCCTACAATTTCATACCTTATTTTTAATGCGTACTCTACAGGTTACTTTCACTAATGTTACCTGTTACCTATCTTCTTCGTGCCATGTGGCACATAAGGCCTCAACACAATCCCGCCAACCAGCTCTGTCAGCCGCTGCGATTTGTACCTCACTCCAGTTCTTCCATCCAGCTTTTTCCCTTTCTTTCTCCGCTGTCTTCCTCCATGTTGTCTTTGGTCTACCCCGTTTTCGCCGCCCTTCTGGGGTCCAGGTTAATGCAGTTCTGCAGTCATTATTTGGTTCTTTCCTCATGATGTGACCGATGAATTTCCATCTTC